AAACATCTTGTGTTTGTTCCTGGTTTCTTTGGCTCCTTTTTATATTTGAATTTTGAATTTTATTCCCACTTTTTTGATTCTACATCCAGATTTTTTTTTTTTTCACCACACCGTTTGATAAAAAAAATCTTCCAGGAGAAGTGTGAATTTCTTCTGTTCACTCACGGAATCTTTTTTTTTTTTGAAAATTGATTTTTCAGAAGCTAGGTGTTATCGGTGCATTTGTTATGCAAGAGCCATTCATGGTCTGGGATCCAAAAGCATATTTCAAGAAAGCACGTGAACGACAGGTCTTTTTGTTCGAACTTTGCGTCGTGTTCGCCAAAAAAATCGAACTGTCCAGTCGAGCAGTCAGATATGTCTACAAAAATCACCTTATGGCAAGTGGTTTTCTTGGGCTTCGAAAGTTAAAGGAGCAGGAAGATTGGGTTGGGATGGCAGTGGGAGGGAGGGCGGAAAGGGAATGGAGAAGAAAATGAGGAGAAAGATGATTTTGGTCCTCAAAGTTCTTTTTGCCAATGTTACCATAATTGCTTGGCCATTTGAGGCATTTGATATTAATTAATTATATTACCTGCACGCATTTTCCGAGAATATCCCGTAAGAAGCCGATAGGAATTGATAAAGCGTGCGCTGCATACTACAGCACCATTAGATGGTTTGGATCGGTGTATATGTGAGCTGCACGCAGACAGATATAAATGCTTTAACTGCTATGTGAAGCATATGAGCCTGTAGTATAATGGATAACACGTCACGATCCAAAAATGCAGAAATAATGAAAATGAGAGATTTGATTCTTCCTCTGCTTCCGTCCGGTGCATAAACACTTTTAAAAAAGACCTCATTATTGAGTAGCCTTTTCGGTCACTCATTTCACTGAGTGCGTTTTTGCTAACAGATTCGTAATGAATTGCTTGCAGCTGGCTGAGATAAATGTTTGTGAGCATGTAGAGGGCGACTCGAGCAAATTTGCCTTACGACAAGGAAACGTGCCGAACACCGAGATGCGCACCGAGCTCAAGGCTGCAAATGAGCAGTGTAAGGTGCACTGGGTGAAGAAAATCCGCGAATTAATGCAAGGACTGATGACTGCCAATCTCGGTAATATGTTTTTTGAAGTAGAAAATATCTTCTTCACTGCAAAAGCTTTTCAAAAATTCCGAAGCTTCTCACATTTCTGCTGTGGTCACATCAAAATTCAGCTTCCGACAGGAGAGAGTTTGTTTCTGTGCCCGTTAGCCAAAACAGTTACCTCTTGGCTTGACCCTGCTTTATTTTCTTGCTGCCAACTTTAAAACCTTTCAAAAGCTAAAAAAATGTAGATGAGGAAAGAAAATTCCCACATAAGTTAGACATAACGAGCACGGTGTTTATTTAGTCTCGGATGGTTTTTGCGTATTCTGTTTCGATTATTAGTGCTAAAACGTCCGCAAATATATAAATACCTCTGGATCCTGCTGTGAGTAGTTCTCTGGAGCAAATTATTCAGATAGTTTCCTATTGAAGCTGTTGTATAACTCATTTCGAAATTTCGCTTTACTGCAGTCTTGACCCGATTTCCAAAGCTTTGCAAATTTTGAGCTGTATCCCCCTGACAAATTCGATTTGATGAATTTGCTTCATGACAGTCGTCGACAGTACTGCTAGTGGGCGGCTGCTGTCAATAAATGTTACTGCCGAACTACTTCCAAATACTTCTACCTCTCACAGATAGTGAGGTCTGGAAAGAGTTCTGACTTTGACGGTTCTTTATCCTTTTTAAAGTGGTTGATTCTTAGTCTTTTTTTGCAAAAGATCGAAATATTGCATTCGAAATGTCACATCAGATTTTCTGCTGGTTCTCTTTGAACATTCCCTCCCTAGAATAAATATGTAAGTCATAAGAGGTGCCTTTTTGTAAACTGTTGCCTTTTCTTTTCATACGTTTTGTGCTGCAACAGTTGCACAAAATGCATATTGTCAAAACCCTGTCTTTGTGTTTGTGTGTGTGTTTGTTCCGAGTGCCTTTTTATCCGAGGGTTCCCACCCGGAAATTATCGAAGCCGGGAAGCTGAAATTTTATGGGGGTATCCCTTGCACGCGTGCAACGTCACAAAGTCAAATTCAGTGGCCGCGTGCACCTTAGGTCTCAAGTACGGACACGTGGGAACTTAAATATTCCAAATCAAGCATTCAGATATGCGTGATTCTCACGTACAGGCGCATATAAATTTTGTCTGGAAAGCTGCTCACTGAAAAGCTAGGTTACTTTTAAAGAACAACCGTTAAGTGGGAATTGTTTATTTACTTCGTGCAAAATTTATGGTGATTTACGCTATTGAGCGGAAAGCATAAGTGTAAAGCAACAAACGTTTATGCGGTTAATTACCTGAGTACTTCAAGTCTGGTGCAAAAACGCATGATCGCACCGGCAAGTCTGTGCGTTTCTACTGGGTTTGGAAAAGCGAGCATTTATCAGAAAAATGACTGAGCTTCATGCAAAAACTGATAATTATGTACCTGGAGGTCCACACTGTCGTATAATGTGACACCATCCCAACCGACGCTCCTTCCCCCTGCATACCAGAAAGGCCAAAGCAGGGCCAAGATGAATTCAGTTGTTAGGGTACAACGCAGTATCATTCCTGCTATTAGAGCATTTGCAAGTTGAATGCAGAAAAGCACGATCGTACCGGCAAGCCTGGTGCCTGGGTTTGCATCTGTGCAGTGCAAAAATGCGCATTGTCGAGGGGTTGTTTGTGTGCGCGTGTCTGTATGTTCGTCTGCACCGATTTTGCTTTTGGAGACTTACAAAAGCTACAGGGCTGGAATTTTGGGAACGTAATCTACGTGCATGTATGGACCCCCATCCCCAATACGGGCGCTCTTACCCACGTGGTTCTCACATACGGACGCGTCAAAGTTTCCAGCGAGTAGGCTGTTAATTCGGGAACCAGAAAAGCTAGAAAACTGGATTTTTGGCCGGATCTTCCTCGTTCAAGTAGATCTTAATGATTTCAGACCCAGTCCTCAGGTATGCTTGGTCCCCTGTACGGGCCCGTGAAATTTTCTTGCAGGTAAATTACCAACTCAGGATCCTGAAAAGCTAGGTAGCTAAAACTTTAAAAGGATCCACGTACAGTCCTTTTTAAAAAAAGATCCACGTACAGTCCCCGTCCACGCACAATCTAACGACTTCAAATTCGTCCCTCAGGTGTGCGATTCTACCTGTGCAAGTTTTTAGCGGGTAAGTAGGTAAATTGGAACCTGAAAAGCTAGAAGGCTGTAATTTTAAAAGAATGCCCCCCGTCTGCATAAGTCCTGATAAGTTCAGACCCAGTCCCCGGGTATGCGTTGTTCCCATGTACGGGCGCTTGAAAATTTTTTGCGGGTAAGCTGCTAATTCGGGAACCTGAAAAGCTAGAAGGCTGAAATTTTAAGAGGATGTTTTTAGACAGTCCTAATGGCTAGTCTCAATTCTCTTAGCTGGAAGATCTCCCGAAAAAACAGTGTCGATAGCGACAAAAACATGCTGGGAACTATGAAAAAAACACATTTTTGCACCGTCAGTTGGTGCATTGGTCAACTATTTTTACTTTTATTTAGATAAATGAAATTCGAGGACATATTTTGCAGGTGTAAGAGAAATTGGCGTTGTCCGAGGTTTGCGTACCACTTATTCAGCTTCGACATCGGATCGAACGTCGAAAGATAGTGATAGTTTGCCAGTAAGCAACGAAGATCGAAATTCGTTACGC